ACATGCAATGTTTTGCCACACGCTCAGGGACCCGTTATGACTTACAAATACCAATTTTCAGACAAATCCGTGAAAAAATGTGGCATAAATCATCAAAATACCGAATATCGGGAGGTACCGTTAGATGGGGACTATACCAGAACATGGACCGATATATCTCATTTTCAATATCAACCATCCTAGACACAATACCAATTACTCTGCTAAATTTTGGCGCTCTACGTCAAATAATGTGGGCTGTATCGTGATTTCAACAGACAAACAGACGGACAGACGGACAGACAGACAGACGGACATCGATAAATCGACTTAGATTTTTATGCTGATTATGAATATATATACATTATGGGGTCTAAGACGAATATTTAAGGATGTTACAAACGGAATGACAAAGTTAATATACCCTCCTTTCCAAGGTGGAGGGTATAACGAGACGCATTTTCAGAATCAGAGTTGAAACAGGATCCTCGAGGTTTGCAATCAACCAATGATGTGGAGAGAACAGTAAATGTTGTCACAAGTGCCCTTCTTTAGAGCTATAAGAAATCTTGTCCAATAACATGCTAACTATCTAAGGACCTTGCCATTCTTCGGAAAATAGAAAGGTTGTCTTATAACAGGGAGGGCAACACTAAACGTATCACTGATTAGAACGCCTACAAGGCAGACTTTTATAAATACAAAAGTGAGTTAAAGAAGACCAATCGTAGATCTTCGATCAGCTTTTGTGAGTCTATAGAGGAGGTGTCCAGTCTATGGAATGAGAGAACGGAGAACTATATTTCCAAAGCTTGGAAAATCTAGTCGCACATTACCTAAAGTCGACAGATCGATTAGCCTCTCTTCCTTTCTTATATAGACCTTCCTTTCTATTGAAGACCTTAAAGGGGGCTTTCAACCACATGAAGCTGAAATAGATCCATAATGCTATCTATGCCTCTCGTATTTCCTCAATTCTGATTTAATGGAAATATATAGCATACCATCAAAAGCAGAATAATCAATTCAAGCTCGGAAGAGAGTCATATTAGGAAATCAGTCAGCAGGGCCGGTGGAGTTTTCTCACCCCCCGCTTTAGTTTCTGGTGATTAAGGAAATACTTGTGAGTTTCGGTCAGCTTCGAATAAAGGTAGTCGAATATGCCGACGACGCTGATAGTGGAAGATTTCTTCCAACTATTTCTGACCTAATGCAAAGATCCAGTTGTCTGGTTTAGCCGTGGACATTGGTCTGGGGGTTAACTCTGCAAAGACAAAACTTGTACTGTTCATAAAGAAACACAAAGTTTCAGTACTGGATGGAGTTATATTAAATCTCTCCTCGTGCGTCCAATGCTTCGGTACGATCCCAGGTCAGCGTTTAAACTGGAAAGGACTAAAAACGAATCATTGCACTCTATTCATGCAGGCACGCCATAGGGAAGAACCGGGGCTTAGATCACAAGTATTACACTGGATGTATGTCACAGTGGTTTTACCTGTTCTGACATACTGGTGCCTCGTCTAGTGGCATGTGATTAAATCCAGAGCACTCATGTCCAAATGAACGACCGTGCTGAGGCTGCGTCCTTATTGACAACCGCCGCTCTCGAGAGCACTACCTAATCTACCTTTGGATGTGCTGCTAAGCTTCCAGCCACGTGGAATTTTGCCTCAATCCCAAACAGCAAATAGTGCGAGTATGACCCTCTTCACGTTTTGGTTACGTACAAATCCTGGACTTACAAATTAGTTGGAAAATATATATATATATATATATATATATATATATATATATATATTATAGGTATATATATATATATATATATATATATATATATATATATATATATATATATATATATATATATATATATATATACTCCCGGGGATAACAACAAGCTCACTTCTATCACTTAGTAGGTCTGGTCTAACAACCGTGGTGCGTATACTGACTGGTCACCGCAGTATTAGATATCTGACCTTAAGATGGGAAAACAATGTTCCTGACACTACAGGGTGAGATGAAAAAACTGCAACCAACTTCAGACTGCTGTCATTCCCAAGCCAACATTCTTTCCTTTAATTCAACAAAATTTAAAACAAATGTAACAATTATGGCGTTTGACTTTGTTGCATTTTTTTATCTCACCCCTTATAGACAATGTGAAGATGAAGAAAAGGTTGAGACGATAGAACATCTACTTTGCACATGTCCCGTGTTATCCAAATAGAGGCTATTAGCAGGTGAGAGTTAGAAACTCTAATGTTCTTCTCAGACATAAATCCCATTATCGCTTACAAATTTTTGCAATACGAATTTTTCAAGAAAAATACCGACTATATTACAGATCACATATATCTTTTTTATAACCAAAATAGAGTTACTCGATTGCCCATATTTTGTGAATGAAGTGCAGGTTGAGTCTAGAGCACACAACTTTCCATTTTTTATACCCTACACCACATAGTGGTAAGGGTATTATGTCTGTGTGCATTTGTTTGTAACATGGGGAAGGAAGCGAGAAAGACACATAGTTACTTTTGAGGATCTTAATAGAATCAATTTCCGAGTCGATTTATGCAGGTCAGTCCGTCTGTCCATGTATTTTTGTGAACAAAATGCAGGTTGCATTTATTATCCCATTGAGATGAAATTTTCCATACATCATTTGCCAGACCCAAGGACGAGCTTTATTGAAATTGGTGAAAATCGGTTCAATTTTGGATATATCTTAACCCGATTTCGGACCAAATGGCAAATATTAATCCAAATGACCTGAATTTTTGCACATTCGACTCAATTCAATGTAGAAGCAAGTACATGAAATTTCATCATATGTTTCATCTGATTTGGTGTTTAAATCCTTCACATCCATAATATGCACTCCACAAGAATGATATTTGATACCAGAAATACCTCTGTAAAATTTTATCGAGATCGAATCAGATTTGAATACAGCTCCCATATATATAGCCGATTTCAGGTTAATTGTGTATCAGCCCAAATGAAAAAAAAACTGAATTTGGCACATCCAACGAAATTCAGCCCAGAAGCAAGTACATCAAATTTGGTGAAAGCTGGTTCAGATATAACTATAGCTCCCATATATGTATGTTTCATCCGATTTGGGGTTTTATGTGCCTCACATGCGTAATATGCACTCCACAACAATAATCTTTGGTAACAGATAGCAGACACAGCTCTGAATGAAGCCCAATAAGCCCAAATGAACTGAACTTTGGCATTTTCGGTGGAATTCAGCCTAGAAGCAAGTACTTCAATTTTTAGGTGAAAATCGATTCAGATATAATCATAGCTTCCGTATACAGGGTTGCCCATATTCGACGGACCCATCTGGCAACGCCATAACTTTTGACAGAGATGTCACATCGCTTAATGACATACCGCGTTTGAAGCGTCAGTCCAAGCAGATTTTTACCATGAACCAATACACGCCACGCGAGCTCTCTGAAGTAGTTGAAATTTACAAGAAGTCAATTGTGAAAACTCAACGTGCTTTTAAAACATTAAAAAATGTGAGAAGTGCGCCTTCTATGAACACCATTAAGCGTTTATACGAAAAATTTTCGACTGGTAAGGCTCTTTCTAATCCGAAGAGGCCATATAAAAGTCGACCAAGGCGATCGGCCGAGAATATCGCTGCCGTACGATCCAATGTTGAGAGGTCCCCAAGAACATCCCAAAAACGCCGTTCTTAGCAGTTGGACATGGCTCGGTCCACTTTACAACGGATTATTCGCATTGATTTGCATTTGTTCCCGTACAAAATTCAATTGACGCAAAGAATGTTGCCTGCGGACAAGCCTCGTTGATTAGAATGGGCCCAAGGAGTCATCGAAATGGCCGAAGATGACGAGCAATTTTGGAACAAAATTATCATGTCCGATGAAGGCCATTTCACATTGAATGGGACCGTAAATAAGCAAAATTGCCGTTTTTACGCCACTGAAAATCCTCAGGAGATTCAAGAAGTGCTTCTTCATGACGAAAAAGTCACAGTTTGGTGCGGCGTTAGTGCGAAAACGGTCATTGGGCCGTTTTTCTTCCAAAATGAAAATGGCCATGCTGTTACCATCAATCAGGAGCGTTATCGCGACATGATGACCAATTTTGTGATGCCAATTATTCGTCGAAAGCGTATGAGGCAGTTCTGGTTTCAACAAGACGGCGCTCCACCGCACACAAGTCGCATAACAATCGATTTTCTGAAGAATTTGTTTCCGGGCCGTTTGATGTCGAAAAGTGGTGATTTGGACTGGCCGCCGCGTTCGCCCGATTTGACGCCGCCTGACTTCTTCTTGCGGGGATATTTGAAATCAAAGGTTTACGTTAACAAGCCAAGGACCGTACACCCAGAGAAAAAATGACAACATCCGTGTATGAAATGACCACATCCGTGTATGATAGTGTATCAACCACGTTTGGTGTCAAAATGAGCACGCTGTTGTCATTTTGACACCGAGATTTTGGCAACGATTTCAACAACAGATGTGCATGAAATGAGCACATACGTGGTCATTTCGAGCACGCCCCGTTGTCAGATTGTCAACGCTTCGTTGTCAGATCGTCAACGCTTCGTTGTCAGATTGTCAACGCTCCGTTGTCGGATTGTCAACGCCCGTTGTCAGATTGAAATCAATGGTGGTCATTTTTTGATATCCGTTCCTTTTCCATTTTATACCCTTAGTAGAAGAAACGACATTTTTTGAAAAGTATTTTATTGAACGAAACCAATTACATAAATTCAATATAAATACATATTTGATTTAACAAAACAATTCGAATTACATATATTCAATGTATAGAAACAAATTAAATTAACTTAAATCTGAAATAAACTTTTCCATTATTCATAGGATATAAGTGAAATGGGTAAGTAATAAAATCTAAAATTGGTGGATACATAATATCGAAATCAATGTTGACCTAAAACGAAACATTAGTATCCATATACAAATAAATAGCTCATGGCTACTTACCAATTCTGAAGCTCTTGCATCGGACAACTTCGTCCATTCAAGGAGAAATGTATGGCTACTTAAATTTTTTATATCTCTTTGCCGTATGTTAAAAGATCTTTTCCATTTTTCGCAGATCGATCCCCAATCATTACATTCTCTTAGTAAGGAAGCTTTCAATGAATTTTCAACTGATTCATCAATTTCGGGAACATCTTTGTTACAAAAATTAGGAGATGTGTGAGTTGCTGCTTTGCTTGTGCTAGGCTCGGAAATCAAAAGCTTTATTCTTTTGGACTTCTTGTTTCTATACTTGGCATAAAGTTTTCCGCTTGCGTTGTTCTTTCCTTTTCTTGAAATGTAATAATAATCCTAAAAATAAAGACATATTATAAGTTAAGAAACTACATAATCAGATACGTTGTTTATATTGTTAATCTTACCCTCATTTCGTTTTCAAGAGGAAAAACGGAACAAATTTCATCCAATATGCGCATATAGTCTTGAGTGTAAAGAGTAACATTGTTGGTTAAAATATCTTCAATAATTATATTAATTATATCATCTCTTTGCTCGTCACTTAATTTCTTATTAACGCTACTACATTCAAGCGCTAGTTTCCCCTTCGAGGTATGTGTTAACAATTCCGTTAGATCCTATATTAAATAAAAAAACTACATTAACTATGCTTACACAAATATTACTCTTACCTTACCTCTGACAAAATTCCTTTGGCTTTTGAGCAGTTCGAACCTGTAGTGTCGGGAGTACCAGGAGTACTTGCAGGTGTCTCGTTGCGTTTCCACCATTCACCTATTTTAGATGGAACTGACATAGTTTCGTCATCAATCCCGAGCTATTGTTATGACAATATTAATACTGAGTTCAACTCTGTAAAACAAATAATACGTACCTTTCGTTTTTTCCAAGCAAAGAGCTTTTCTCTGAATTCAACACGCAGTCCCAATGGTGGCACTGCTTCCTTTAAATCTTCTTTTTTCAAGTACTGCAAGCTGCGAAATGTTACATGTGATGCTAAAAGAACAAAAAAGAAAATTCTTTGTTAATTACACTGATTAACTGAAAAATTCATTTTTATTTACTTACCTTTTAATTGTTCAAAAAGCGACTCCATATTTATTCCTTTTAAGAACTCCCTTAACATATAATCGTCCTCATTGTTTTCCGCATCTTGACTGCTGCAATGGTTTGTATCGCGAACCACAACAATATTGCCATCGATTTCTAACAACTCACCAATGATATTTTGAGGATCTTGCGAATTATTATTCATTTTCAATAAATTTTTTGCACAATGCGTCCTTTCTCTTTCAATAACACGGAAAAAATGGTAAATATGCAGCCGATTGCACACGAGTAAAAAAAATGACAACGGTGGTGCATGATTCATACACGGTAGTTGCTAAAATGGCAACGATCGTGTACGATTCATGCACGTCGGTGTACAAAGTAACAACGGTGGTGCATCATTATGCAGGTGGTGGTGCATAATTCATACACGACCGGTGTCATATTGACAACGACCGTGTGTGAATCATGCACCACCGTTGTCATTTTTTACTCGTGTGTAATCGGCTGCAATTACCAATATTACAAATGGACAAATTAAGCACGGCTGTTGTTGGTACCGAAAGTTGACCACGTCTCGGTGTCAATTTGAGCACGTTCGTGCACAATTCACCAACAGCCGTTGTTGAAAAATATAACAACGGGTCGTTGCGAAAATGACAACATACGTGCTTGATTTCGCAACGGGATTTTTCCCTCAGTGTAGAAGAGCTCAAGGACAACATTCGTGAAGAAATAGCCGCTATTCCAGCCGAAATGTTGGCAAAAACGATGGAAAATGCAGCAAAAAGGGCACAATTCGTCATCAACGCCAGAGGCGGCCATTTGAGAGATATCATATTCAAAAATTGATGTAAACAAATCTACTTGGAACAAATTAAATGATTAACATTGCCAACCGCCAAATTTTTGTTTTTTTCTTTGATGAAAAAAAAAAAAAAAACATGGGTCCGTCGAATATGGGTAACCCTGAATATGTTTCATACGATTTGGTGTTAAAGTCCCACACATGCATAATATGAAATCCACAACAATGATATTTTATACCGTACATCAGATACAGGTCGAAAATACCTCTGCCAAAATTGATCGAAATTGGTTCAGATTTTACGGTTATTGTCCACCGTATATGTAATATCAACCCAAATTGGATAGGTTTAAAAAAATTAATGTAAATAAAAGCCTCCGACAATTTATTTATTTATTTATTTTTTTTTGAAAATCGGTTTAGAGTTGGATGTAGTTCCGAAAAATTGTGACTATTGTAAAGCCATGATATGCATTCAAATAAAGTTCAAAGTAGATAAGGGAGCTCTAGCAAATACGTATCATATAATCGCCCCCGCTCGACTTTTGATCTTTCGTTACTGCTTTTCGTTGAACGCGCAAACTCTGTACCGATGATACTCATTACTTGGTATAATGGAAAGTAAGTTCTTATACATTTTAATGTTTAAAGAATTAACCATTATTTTCAACTTGGTTGTAATGCAATCGGTCGCTTATTCACATTACTATGTAATGGGATGTACTTACCGCTCTATGTCATGGTCGACTGCGACCAGTACTTTTTATGTTTGCATTGTTTTGTTCGTTGATCCTTATTTAGCACAGCATAGCCGCTCCTCCATCTGGAATATTGCTGCCAGTTGTTGCCGTCGTCGCCTGCTTTTATGAAATTTGTTTTTTTTTTTGTGTTGGTTGACTGTAAATGAAACAATTGTAAATCACATTTAATTAGAAAAATCTATGAATAATTGTTACAAATGTTGATGTTAGACTATTTTGTGTGGGGCTTTTTCTGTTTGAATGATTTTTTTTGTTTGTTTGTAGACTTTTTGTTGCCTTTATTGTTCCCATTGCATTTTAGCTACTTAACACTGAGTACAATTATTTGCTGTTAAAACAAATTTTAAGCGGAATGTTATTTATTTTTAATTCCGTTTCTTTTTATGAATTAGTATTGTATGAATTTTATCTTCCATTGTTGGATAGCCTATTATCGCTTAATAGGAATCAAAGTAAATAGAATACATTGCACGAAAATAAAAATATTTGTAAACAACGAAATATGTCTAATATGTTTTCCAAATGAAAGTTTATCTTATAGTACAGGGTGAGATAAAAAAACTGCAACCGAACCAAACGCCATAATTTTTACATTCTTCTTAAATTTTATTGAATGACCAAAAATGTCGGAAATATCATCAAATTATAGAATAAGTTTAGATTTGTTCGAATTCGTGCCACGCTATATCTTCATCTGATAAAATTTGGCAAATTTAGCAAAGGCAAAGGGTTGCCCATATTCGACGGACCCATCTGGCAACGCCATAACTTTTGACAGAGATGTCACATCGCTTAATGACATACCGCGTTTGAAGCGTCAGTCCAAGCAGATTCACGTCACGCGAGCGCTCTGAAATTTACATTCAACAGAAGAAGTCAATTGTGAAAACTCAACGTGCTTTTAAAACATTAAAAAATGTGAGAAGTGCGCTTCTAAGAACACCATTAAGCGTTTATACGAAAAATTTTCGACTGGTAAGGCTCTTTCTAATCCGAAGAGGCCATATAAAAGTCGACCAAGGCGATGGGCCGAGAATATCGCTGCCGTACGAGCCAGTGCTGAGAGGTCCCCTAGAACATCCCAAAAACGCGATTCTCAGCAGTTGGGCATGGCTCGGTCCACTTTACAACGGATTATTCGCATTGATTTGCATTTGTTCCCGTACAAAATTCAATTGACGCAAAGAATGTTGCCTGCGGACAAGCCTCGTCGATTGGAATGTGCCCAAAGATCCCAAAGGTCCGTCGAATATGGGCAACCCTGCATTACTGAGCTACATTTCATTTCTTTTCCGCAATATCGTTATTATGGAGTTTATATTACGGCTGGGGAGGAGAAAATTAACAAATCGGATGGACACTATATATGGGATCTACAGCTACATTTGAATCGATTTCCATCATATTGGTCGCATGTGCAAAATTTCATGAAGAGAAGAGATATAATATAATATCAACCCAATAAGGATGCAATTTTGCACAAGAGACCAATATGATGAAAATCGATTCAAATATAGCTATAGATACCATGTGTATTGTTCATCCGATTTGTTATTTTTGTCCTCCCCAGCAGTAATATAAACTCCATAGTAACGATATTGCGGAAAAGAAATTACCAATTAGAACTTCAAATACGAAATTTCAAATAATTTCGGTGAATATTGCACTTAAAATCATAAAAATATGTAATACAGGGAAGTATCGTTATATGGGAGCTATACAAAGACCTGGACATGCATAGACAATTTTCTGTCATATACTATAGTTCCCATTACAAACTCTAAATACGAGATTTGAAACAACTCCAGTGAATAATGTCCCTAAAATTTTCAAAATACCCAATAGCGGGGGATAGCAGGTACTCTAAAGGAACTCCTTGTGACAATTTCATTGAAAATGTAGCTAAAATCACCACAATACCGAATATCAGGAGGTACCGTTATATGGAGGATATACGATATCGTGAACCTACACAGACAATACTCTTCCAGGTGGTTAAGGGCTAAATCGTCTTAGAATTTCAATGTATTAAGTAAACGGGTAATGAAATTAAAACTAAAAAGATTTAAAATTTTGTTGTATTCAGCAACCTAAATTCCAAAAAAAATGAAAACTCAACATTTAGCTTGCTGAATTACAATAGAATGAATCAAGTAAAAGTGTAATGAAATTAAAATCAAAAAAAATTCAAATTTTGTTGTATTCAGCTAGCTGAATTCCAAAAAATTTTTGATATCTCAAAATTTATCTTGCTGAATGACAATAGAATATATTAAGAAAAAAAAACGGGTAATGAGATTAAAATTAAAAAAATTTCAAATTTTGTTGTATTCAGCTAGCTGAATTCCAAAAAATTTTTGAAAACTCAAAATTTAGCTTGCTGAATTACAATAGAATGTACTAAGTAAACGGGTGATGAAATTAAGCTAGCTGTTTAGCTAGTTGAATTCCAAGAAAAGTTTGAAAACTCAAAATTACAATAGAATGTATTAAGTAAACGGGTAATGAAATTAAAATTTAAAAAAAAATCAAATTTGGCTGTGTTCAGCTAGCTGAAATCAAAAAAAAAAAAAAAAAAATTGAAAACTCAAAATTTAGCTTGCTGAATTACAATAGAATGTATTAAGTAAACGGATAACGAAATTAAAATTAAAAAATTTTAAAATTTTGTTGTATTCAGCTAGCTCAATTCCAAATAATTTTTGATATCTCAAAATTTATCTTGCTGAATTACAATAGAATATATTAAGAAAACGGGTAATGAAATTAAAATTAAAAAATTTTTCAAATTCCTGAATTCCAAATTTTTTTTGAAAACTCAAAATTTAGCTTGCTGAATTACAACTGAAGGGATTAAGTAAACGGGTAATGAAATTAAAATTAAAAAATAAAATTTTGTTGAATTCAGCACTTAATTCCAAAAAATTGAAAACTCAACATTTAGCTTGCTAAATTACAATAGAATATATTAAATAACGGGTAATGAAATTAAAATTAAAAAATTTTCAAATTTTGTTGTATTCAGCTCGCTGAATTCCAAAAAATGTTTATAACTCAAATTTCAGCTTGCTGAATTACAATAGAATGTATTGGGTGTTCGGATTATGAAATTACAGTTAAACTATTTCAAATTCAGCCAGAAACATTTGAAAATTCACTGGGTATTCGGGTTATGAAATTAAAATTTAAAATTGCGTAAGTTTTGGTGTATAAAGCTGGCTGAATTCCAAAAAAATAAAATTTAAAGCAGCGTTGGCTGTTGTTTCAAAATGGCTTTATATATATATTATAAAAACAACAACAAAGATATTAAGTTTTTATAAAAACAACAACAAGGGGATTAAGCCTGATCATTTTTCAACAACAAAAATTGGGAACTCAAAATTCAGATTGCTGAATTGTAGTAAAATGTACTGAGTATTCGGGTTATGGAATTAAAATTTAAAAAAATCTAATGTTGTTATATTCTGCTAACTCAGTTACAATATTTTTATACCCTCCACCATATTATGGAGGGTATATTAACTTTGTCATTCCGTTTGTAACTCCTCGAAATACTCATGTCAGACCCAACAAAGTATATATATTCTTGATCAGCGTAAAATTCTAAGTCGATTTAGCGATGTCCGTCTGTCTGTCTGTCCGTCTGTCTGTCTGTCTGTCTGTCCGTCTGTCTGTCTGTTGTAACCACGCTATCTTTCGAATGAATTGAGATAGATGGCTAAAATTTTTCACACATGTTTATTTTTCCAGTAGGCAGGTTAAGTTCGTAAATGGGCCATGTAGGTCCACGTTTTCATATAGCTCCCATATAACGGTAACCCCCCCCCCCCCCTTATATTCGGCATTTTGATGATTTTAGCGACGTTATTCACCGGAGTTGTTTCAAATTTGGTATTTGAAGTTCCAAATGGATACTACACCCTAAGACAGAAAATTGTCTGTGCAAGTCTATGTCTTCGTATAGCCCCCATATAACGGTACCTCCCGATATTCGGTATTTTGATGATTTTAGCGACATTATTCATGGGAATTGTTTCAAATCTGGTATTTGAAGTTCCAAATGGATACTACACCCTAAGACAGAAAATTGTCTTTGTATAGCCCCATATAATGGCACCTCGCTATGTTCGGTATT